GAATTAATTTGGCCCAAGTCACACAAGAAGTTGGTGATAAAGCTGAGGCTAGATGCCAGGTTTTCCAACTTCTAGTCTCACTTAGGCTTTCAGCTAGCTCCACAACTAGGTTATAGGTTTCTGAAGGACTGGAAACCTTATTTCAACTCAGACCGGCACCATAGCTCTGAGTACAGGTTACCTGTGGTCACTCCCCCATCTGCTATGCTTCCCTAGGAGCTGAGGGTGCTCCCCCTCCAGCTGTGCTCATGCACGTGGGCGCTCTGTGGGACACAGGACACCAGTCCTGAAAGCACATGGGGCTGCCCCACCCCCTCTCTCCCTCCCTCCCTCGCGGGTAAGCTCCGGGCATCCATCAGTCTGTTAATTGCACTAATTAGAGATCGCGGAGGTGTTAATTGGAAAACCCTGGTATTGTGCCTGTTTGGGAAAGAAAACGTCAATAAAAATTAATTGATGAGTTGGCAGGGCCAGCGGCGAGGTTCGTGGCGAGGCGAGGCGCAGGGTGTTGTGGCAAATGTTATGGCTCAGATTAAGCGATTGTTAATTAAAAAGCTACGGTAATTAATACTCTCTACACCATATGGGCCCACAGAAAAGGCACAAAGGTTTCTCCACGTGTAGAGCTCCCCATCCCTTTTCTCATGCCCCGAAAGCACCCTAGCCCCTGGATTCACCCCTTGGTCCCAAGGTGAGTGGAACTTATCATTTCTGGCCATGGAGGGGACAAGGCAGACCTGGGAGAATTTGAGTTCCGAAGTAAATCTTCCTTGTTGCACTCCCCGCCAGGGTTCTTAGAAAGGCCAGGAGCCTCTGGGGAAGTGGGAGCCCCCAGCGGCCCACAGACACCCCCAGAGCGGAAGAGGCGGCTGTGGCTTTGACCCAGCTTCCTTCCTTCCGATGGTGGCCTCTGCAGGAGCTTCGGCGCCTGACCCAAGGCTCTGAGGTGCCCTGGCTCCCTAAGGGCAACTTAGAGAGGTGGGAGACTAAGACCTGCCTAAGGTCAGGATCAGAGCCTCAGAAAGAAATCCTAGATCACGTAAAATAACTCTGCCTCAGTTGTCCTCGCCCCCAACACGTGGGAGGAGAGGGGTCTCGGAAGGTTGGGGTGGGGGATGAGGGCCTCAGTTTAGCAAATCCTAGTAAGACCTTCTAATCCACCCCTCTTCCTTACCTATTGTATAAAGGAAGAAAGAACAACCTAATGACCTGGGCAAGGAGCAGTGACTTGCCCAAGGTCCCACAGCTGGCCCTTGAAACCAGATGGTTTAATTCCCAGCACTTCTCTTGTGCTGGTGTTCAATAGCTCTTTGCTGAGGAAATGGGTGTGTGGGGTGGGGGGGAGGGACAATAACACTTGTGGAAAGAGGCACTGGGGGGGAAGTGAAGGCAGGAAGGGGCACCCCCAGTACCTGAGCAGGAAGTTCACAGCTACATTGGGCGGAGTGCTTTGGGAAAGGGACCACAGCTTTGACTCCGTCAGTGGCTCCCGCCAGCCACTAGAACACTGTGGCTTCATGTTTATATATGGGACCAGGAAGTTTTTCTCCTGGAGCTTCCAAGTCAGGAGAGACCTTCAAGACCACCTCTCCATGTAGAAGTAAGGAAGTTGCGTTCCAGAGACGTAGGAAGCATAGGATTCACAGCTAGTTGTAAGTGAGCTCAGGCTACCTGACACTGTTTAGCCAGGGTCCAGGTTCTCATAGGCACTGGCTTCCTCCACTACGCCCCACACCCTTGTAGCTATAGGGCACCGATATCAGTTCCTGCCTCCAGCACCCCAACCCATCTGGACCCTAGCCAACTGGGCCCAAGGCACCCAGAGCCTGCTCACCCACAGTGCAGGGAACACTCAAGTGCTATTGCAACACCCCATTGAGAAGTGAGCAGGAAGCATTAGGCTGCTATTCTCCTCATCCTCAGAGGGCAGGTGTCCCAGGGCAGAAATGAGGTGCAGAGATAGACTAGGAGCACCTGCCATGCAGGTTTGAGTGGGTGTTGGTGGACCAGCAGGAGCATGGAAGGAGGTTGAGGCAGAGCATGCCACATGGGAATTGATGCCATTCATACACCCTGCAGAAATGACTTTTCAAATGCATATAATCTCAAGCATGCAAATGAGAGGCTGGCTCCACCCTGTTTAATACGAATGATTGGCCCACGGATAGCTATTATTACAGGCCACATTGCAACAATTACATTGCTCACTGGGTGTCACTATGCACCCCCCCCAACAACAACAACAACAACAAAACAAAAGAAAGGAACACCTCTGTTTGCATCCTCCTTTCTTTTTTTCTGTGTTTTCAAACTTGCTATGTGATCTACAACTTTATGGTATGTGTGAGTGGGGGGGGCGGTGGTGGTGTGGACAACCTTCCTTACCCCAGGAAAGTAACTGCTGGACTCTCTTTCCTTTCTGCTGTACACACACACCCCTGAGGCTCTGGTCTTTGTCCCCTGGGGCCCAGGAGTTCTCAGATCTCAGGGAAGCTAGACTTAGGGTAGACAGCTGCTCTCCACCCCCAGCAGGGCTAGGGCCAAGGGTGGGGAAGAAGGAGAGCAGAGTGGGCCCCTGATGTTTTCCCATCCCCCTCATGTAACTGGGGCCCAGGCCAGAGTGGGGAAAAGTGCTCTGTAGGCTGCTAGGAGGAATCAGAGTGGGTGGCTGGGGGAAGGGGGGCTGGAGCCCTGTGCTCTGGTGGGTGGAGGATGGTGCCCACCCCATCCATCATTTGGCAGCCACTGGCCCTCCGGCTGACATGGCCATTAAGACCTGAGACCAAGTGCTCAATCTCTTCCAAACCATCGCCCCCAACCTCACCCTTGCCCCTGGCCCATCTCTCTGAGCCCAGGAATGGGAGCAGCAGCAAGGGGGGTGGGGGGTACAAGCCCTTGGGAACACACAGAGAAATGCACAAACATGGGACACACTAGCAACACAGGGTCATAGGAGACCACCCAGATCTAGTGGAATAGAGACACCTAGAGTCACAGATGGAGAGGGGCCACAAGAACAGTGATGTGGCACACATGTGAACTGGTGGGCTCCTCATGGACCCTTAGCATCTCTCTGTCCCCCCACCCCTACCCCTCAGTACTTGCTCTGCTTCTAGCAGGGACAGAACAGAGCATGTGGCCCAGTAGAGTTCTGCGGTGAAAGGAAAGAGCTTGGGGGACAGGAGGGAGATGCTCTTGGGAGCTGCCACCTTGGGGAAGGAACTGGGGAAATAATCCAATCTCTTCTGGCAGTTTCTCTAATATGCTGCCTGCAAGGCCCTCATATACCTTTTGGGTCAAGGAGACCATGTGGTTGTGGAGTCTGCTTTGACTGAAAGGGAATCAAAAAAGGGAGGAAAGAACACTTGCTGGCTTCTACAGGTCTTGCCAGCTGCTCGAGTGGCTTCTACCCGTTGATCTCAGTGATCTGGGCTAAGTCTTGACCTCTCTGAGTCTCGGTCTTCACCCTTACCACTAGGGCAGGTGGAGAAGGGGGTGATTGGAGCTTACTCTATCAGGCGGTTTTTAATGCAGTGTTTTATTTACTCCTCATAGGACTCTAAGAGGCTGGGATTAATTACTTCTACAGATAAGGAAACTGAGGTTTAGGGAGTTTAAGACACACGTCAAAGGTCAGTGATAGATACCAGCTGTGTCCTGTTTCACTGAAACCCGTGTTCCTCTCAAGGGGCTCGGGGGATAGTTGGAGTCACCCCAGACTTTGAGAATAGTTCTACATACTAAAGTTTCCCCATCTGCATCACAGTCTGTGTGTACAAGCCCCTGAGATAGTGGAATCTCCACGAGTCACAGAAGGAAGTTCAGGCCTCCTCCTTCTCCTCACTACCCTTGACCATCCCAAACATATCCTGTTTTCCTGGGGATCTTTCAGCTACTCCTTAAGAGGCAGTTTGAGGTAAGTGGGAAGAGGGCACAGGATTCAGGCCTTGACTCTTTGCTTGGGTAAATCCCCAGCTTTCCCATCTGTCAAGTCGGGATGATAATAACTCACAATTCTTGTGATTAGGAATCATGGTGCCTATAGAGACAGTAAATAGTACTGAGTGTCTACTTTTGGTCAGACTTGGAGTTGTTGGCTTTAGAATTGGAAGGTCTGAAAAGTGGGACCATGGCTGCCAAGCTGTGTCTGGCTCCCAGTAGGTTCTGGGCAAATGGCAGCCATTTTCACTGTGGAACAAACACTGATTAGAGCCTTTCTGTGGCCTGGGGAAGGAGACGCTATAAGGAGGTCCCTGCCTGGAGGAGTTCCCCATTTACTTGGGAACAAACATAAAGGCCATTACAGGTGCTTGGAAGGGAGGGGGAGCAATATGAGTCAAGCTGTGTCTGGCTCCCAGTAGGTTCTGGGCAAATGGCAGCCATTTTCACTGTGGAACAAACACTGATTAGAGCCTTTCTGTGGCCTGGGGAAGGAGACGCTATAAGGAGGTCCCTGCCCCGAGGAGTTCCCCATTTACTTGGGAACAAACATAAAGGCCATTACAGGTGCTTGGAAGGGAGGGGGAGCAATATGGTGAGCCCCAGTGAATAGCTCATCTGCTTTTAAATCCTTGCAGGATCCCCACCCCGCCTATCCCCTTCCCTCTGTTCCCACAATGCCTGGTCGGAGGAAAAAGTCAGAATAGGTTTAGGACTCTGAGAGACAGGGCAAAGGCATCACCTGCTCCCCTGCCCTGCTGAGGTCTTCTGGAAGTCAAGTGAAGGAAATGCGGGGGAGGAGGGCAGCTGCACGGTGGACCTGCCCTTACCGGGACCTAGGGGAAAGGGACACTGGGAAAAGCCCGTGCCCCAAGAGAGGTCCCAGGAGCAGTCCCCAGTAAGTCGAGGAGGAGACGTCCTGGGACTGGGGTGGGAGTTATAAGGTGGTGGTGGTGTGGGGAAAACGCTAAGGGGCATCGGTTGCTGCCCCTGGTAGAACCCGCCTTGTCAGTCCAGCCTGGAGCCTCAGCCCCTCCCCCGTGACTCTCCTCCCCCTCCAGGTCCCGCTAGAGCGACATGATGGTGGAATCCGCCTCGGAGACAATCAGGTCAGCTCCGTCTGGTCAGAACGGCGTGGGCAGCCTCTCCGGACAGGCTGATGGCGGCAGTGGCGGCGGGGCCGGGGCTGCGGGCACTGCTGGAGGCGGCGTGGGCAGGGACTCGGCGGCGGGCGCAGACAGCAACGGCGAGATGAGCCCTGCAGATCTGCTGCACTTCCAGCAGCAACAGGTAGGCGCTGGCTCCCCTCCCCGGCAGCCAGGACAGGGAGAGGGGCATGCCAGGCCTCTTCCCACTCCATTCTGGCCGCCTGGACACCACTGCTCCTGGCCAAACAGCTTCATTTTAACATTTTTGGGAAGGTGCAGCCTCCCAGGGGACTCCTTCTGCACCCTCCCATTCTAGTGGTCACCTGGACGCAGGGGGACAGCTGCGTTTTCAAGAGAAAGAAGTGGAACTCAGGGGGTCCTGGGATCATGTTGCTTAGAACAGTCTCAGAAATACCCACCAGGACAGACACCTGGGCAGCTGGCCTTGGGTGGGCAGGTGCCTGGGCTCTCCTCCTGCACACTGTCTGAGTTAACAGGGTTGGAGGAGGAAGACCCTACTTTAGAAGTATGCTCATTGGGGGAGGGGACCTGCATATGTAGGCCGTATCTCCACTTTATTTGTATTGTAAAACCGTCCCCACCTCCATCTCTGCCTGTGCCCCTGACCCAGGCTATGAAGATTAAACTTCCAAGCACCAGGGACCAAAGCTGCTGGGGAAAGGCCAAGAGCCAAAGGCAAAGGCAGGCCTCCATTTTTAGGGCTCAGAATGGGAACTCCAATCCCTGCATCCACCTTTCCTCTTCCCCCTCCATCATTCCCACCCTGAACTGCAGAGTTCAGGAGTTCAGGACAGGTCTCTCTGAGGACCGAGAGGCCCTAGGGTGGGGAGCCGGGTTGGGCAGTGACAAAGCAGGGGCCCCAGGTCCCAGCCCCACCCGGGAAATAGAATCATGCTTGACAAGTTCAGGAGAACCGGCCCAGCCACCCCTGGCCTTGAGATCCTCCTTCTCTTATTTGACTCGGTTCCTCCGATCACTTCTGGTGGCAGTAGCCCTTGGGGGCTCTGCTGGGAATGAGGAAAAGTCTGGTCCTGCTAGCCCTTATCCGCCTGTGCTCCCACCCCTGCCTCATATGCACAGATATGTGTGCCCACATTGCCCTCATTCTGTTTCCCAGATTCACCCTGGGGCTTCTTCTCCCTCACTCCATAGCCCCTAGGGGGCCCTTTTTCACCACATGCCTTGGAGCCAGAGGTCAAACCGGAAGCAGCATGTTCAGAAGCCTGGCACTGAGCTAATCAGCCAGCACTAACGCAGGAATTGAATAAGCCCCGGTTAAGTCTCATCCTGCCCATTACCGGTGGTGTGACCTTGGCCAAGTCCTGGGCCTCTTTGAGCCTTGGCACCCTTGGCTCCTAAAGCATAGAGTTGTTAGTGTCAGATCCAGTTTGAGTGTGAAACCCCTGTACACACCAACAAATCGATGTGGATGTGAACAGAACTGAGAAATTTAAAACTCATTTCCTTTTGCAAACAGTGGAGACTTGAGTGGAAAAGTGCCTGTCTCCTTTCCCCAGGGAGATGGTCCTCGGGAGTCTTCTGGCATCTCCCAAGCCTTCCTAAAGCAAGATCTCTGGAGAGGAGACTCACAGCATCTGTGCCATCTACTGGGGACAGATGGTCAAAGGGCAAAATCCTACCCTTTATCAAAATAATAACAGAACATACCTCACCAGAAGGCTCCAAGTCCACCCATTTTGTAAGGCCAACTTAGCCTCCTAACACCTCGGCGCAGACAGAGCAATAAAAAACTTTGAATGTGGTGGGAGTGGGGTGGGAGAAATACTCAAACTGGGAAGTGTCTTTTAAAAATTATTTAAAGTGAAAAATAAACACAGGTATCTGGACAACTGGAGAGACGTGTGGGGTGGGGAGAGACAGAACTGTCTGTACTGATCGGGTTTCTCCATTCTGCATTGCACACATGCCGTGTTTTACCATCCATATTCCACGTTCCAGTTATTCCTGTTTGTTTTGGGGAATATCCCAAAGTCCTGGAAAATCCTGTATCTGTTTCACAAATAAACTGGGGTGGAGATTTGGAGGCAGGCGGAGAGGGCTGTTTTATCCATTTGGGCTCACTATGGGCGTAGTGCTTGGGGCCAAGGAAAATATTTGAGCCTTAAAAAAAAAAAAAAAAAGTTTTGTTGGCTCCAAACTATGAAAAGAACCCTGCAAAATTAAAATCACAAAAATTTCAATTAAAATGAAAGCAGTCTGTAGGCCATCTTACAGACTGGTTTGAGGGGAAACTTCAGGTGTAACACTTTCAGGCCCCCCAACAACAAATGTTCCTGACTATTTGTGTGGTAAAGCAACTATGCGAAAGAGAGACTGGCCCAGTGGGTTCCTTCTCTCTCTCAGTCCCAACCAGGAAGTCCTTCAAGGACAAACAAACAAATTCCTTATGTCTGTTTGGCGCTTTGAGTCTTTCGCATATGCTGTGTCATTTGATTGCCTGGGAGGTGGATATTATTCCTATTTCACAGATGAGGGGGGCAGCCAGAGGTGGCACTGACTTATCCAGGTGACAACGGTAAAAGGTGCAGCTAGACCTCAGGTCTCCCAGTTCCTAGTTCAGGGATCAGCTCAGCCTCTGTATGGTTCGTGCCACACTCACGCAGTCCCTTGTGGGAAATGGAGGAAGCAAGGCCTGGGACGTAATAGGTGCTAAATAAACGTCCGTTGGTAAGTGAATGAGAGCACCCCATTCCCAACCGAAAAGGGCTCTTAAACAGAAGCAACACTGCCAACTAGTCCTCTGTAGCCACTCCATAGGAAGGAGATTGTGGGGAATCTGTGGGTGGTACACTGGTCCTGTCCTCTTGTGCCTCCTTGGATATCCAAGCCCCTCTTCCTCTGTCTGTCTGTCCGTTGGGCCCTGTCTCTCTGCTCTGGGTAAACAAGCCCTGGAAATGCAAGCTTGGCCTTTAGGAATAATAAGTTGACAGAGGAAAGAGAGAGATAAACAGGGCGAGTCAGAAGTCAGACTGGTGACAGGACTTTAGGCTGAAACAAACAGTGCTGAAGAGGGCAGCCACGTCACTTTGGAACAAGAGCAGGCGCCTGTTTCCATGCAACAGCAGGCCTGAGCTTGTTTAAACAGAGGCTGGGGGTGGGGGTGGGGGTGACATAGCTTGGCTGCCAGGCCCTTCTGATAGAGAGAGGGTCCCTGGCTGGCCGCCCTGCTGTTAACAGTCAAAGAAGGCCCCAGCTTCCCACCACCTCCTCCCAACCCCCTTTTTTGGTGGGCAGCCGAGCCACAGTACCTTTACTTTGTCCTTGGGGCATTCACTAAGTCTCCAGTCTCAGCCCCTCATGGAGAATCTACCTTGAGAAGAAGGTATGGGGAGTGTGGTAGGCCTTGGTGCTCACATTCATTAAGCAGACATGCATTAAACCTTATTTTGTGCTGGGACTCTGTTGGCCAGCTGGAGTTGGTGATTCCCCAGCTGCTGCTAAAGAATACCCTGGACCCGGCAGACATTTCCAGCTGCCCATCAGTCCTCTTCCTTCACCAAAGCAGAGTCCTTTCTCATTGCCCCCTCCCCCATATTTCCCCTCTGATGGCTTTTTTCTTTGAAGGTTGCCCTTGCATTTTATCCTAATCTGATTTCACCTGTATGAAAATGTTCCCAGTGTGTGGGAGTGTCCCCAGGGGCTGCACAGTACCCTTTGGGCTCTCTGTTGGGAGGCAGTGAGGGCTGGGAGAAATGTGTGCCAGCTTTTGTGAGATAGAGGGCCTGGGGAAGTCTTGGGGGCTAGACTGGGTGGGTGCTCTGGCGAAGGAGAACTGGACTTGGGGCCAGGAGGGCTGAGTGGGCCCAGTGGGGGCAGGCAGAGCTGCTGGCGGCTGCGCTGAAAGGCGTCCTGGGCCTCTAGAGCGAGCATTCTCTTTGTCCTCGGGTTGTGGGGGTGACAGGTCAGTGAGGGTCACAGGAGGGTTGCCTAGCGTCTGGGAACTCCCACTGCAGTTGCTGTGGCAACCAGGGGCAAATCCCACCCTGTTCACATCCTGTGAGGAGATTCAAAAGAGTTGGGGTGGGGGGGTGACTCTGCACTTTAATGGGCTTTCAACTCACCCCCCTCCAAAAAGATGGAGGGGGGTGTCAGGGAGTTGGGCAAGGGGGAAAAGAAGAATGGAAGAGACTTTTGTTTTTCTCTCCCATCTGGCTCTCCTCTGCCCAAGCTACTTAGGATGGGGCTGGAAGGGGAAGCCTCAGAGATGAATTAGCGCAGGCACGCGCACACGCACACACACTGTCAACAGTTGTCTTTAGTCTGAGGTCTGGGGCCCACTTCAGTCTTTCAGACTCCCACCCTCTTGCTCCAGATTCTGGTCCCACACTTTCTGGACTCCTTTACTTCCTGTAGAGTGAGCCTTTCCCAGGAGGTACTGGCGGCTTGGAGGTAGAGTAGGGGCACCTAACTCCCCAGAGGGGAGACCCAGAAACTTCATATCAATGAAGTCCTCTACTTTCCAATGGCTGTGGGGTAGTGCTTAGAAAGTGCTCCTCCCTCCTCTGCCTGGGAATAGGGGGCAGGTGAGTGGTGGGGATGGGTTGTGAGAGGATGTGTCAGGGAGAGGGCCTTAACCAACCCCACCCCCCACCCCCCAGTCCTTGTACCTTTCCTAGGTCATTCAGCCAAAGGCCGTGGATTCCAAAAGAGGAGTTCCCCTGGGAGGGAGTTCCAGTAAGAGAGAAGAGGGGAATATAGAGGAGAGGACCTAGGACTGGGAAAGGGGTCCCCAAAAAGAGCCAGCCTAGTCTGCCACCAGCCTTCTCTTCTGATATGGAATTCTGAGACCCTGCTTTTTTTTTTTTTTTTTGTTCTGCTCTCATCTCCTTTTTAGGCCAGAGTTCTTGTCCTTACTGATTAGAAGTTTAGGGACAGAGGAGAGATTCAGGGGAAAGAGGAGGGATTAAATGTTTCCTCTTCAGATGATGAAGATTGAAGTGGAGAAGGCAGCATCCCAGGGCCGCACACCACCCCCCACAAACACACACTCACCCCCCCCCCGCCCCCAGGGGATGAGCTAGTGTTTCTTCTAGGGGAGCACCTTTCTTCTGAGAAACCCCATGGGAGTCCTAGGGAAGCGAATTGCATGCCACAGCCTCC